CTGCTGCTACGAGACCGCCTTGACCGGAATCAAACCGGGGACTTCTGGGTCATGTAGCGAAGCACGATGCGAGAGTTGGGACTGCGCTCTTTTGCGCAGCGCGATATTTCACTACATATGTGTGTATTTTCTGAATAAAGAAAAAAATCACAGCATATCCACGGAGTGAATGGCGATGAGTGGGGCGAAGCATCCATCAGCCATTCGTTCATGCTTTCGTCCGTCCGCGCGACCATCCGTGCGTCCGTCCGTCCGTCTGTCCATGCGTCCGTCCGTGAGTCCGTCCGTCCACCTGTATGTCTGTTCGAGCGTCCATCCATCCGTGCGTCCGCGCTTCTATCCATCCGTCCGTCCACCCTCTGCTAGCCGGTGTGTCCGTCCGTCCGTGCGTTCATCTAGTGAACACTTCAAGTACCGCCATCTCCCATCTCGCATTCCCTGTGGCGCATACCCGCTCTAGAGTGGGTATGTTCCACCGGTGGCTACGTACTACTACATACATACAAGGGATGGGCAGACCCACGCCTTAAGGAGCTTCGCCCCTAAAATCGGATGTTTTCTTCGCGCGCTGCGCAAATCGAGAGGTAATCGAGAGTTAAACAACGACGCCTTATGCCCAAAACAAGTTCGCCCACAAACGATCGTCAATAACGTGCTTACCCGGCTACAGAAATTGCGAGGAATAGGCATAGGATGACGCGTCGCCAGTCTCGCGTATTTGAGCGTTGAGTGAGCCGACGTTGATTTCGAAGATGTTGAACGACGTATAGACGTTGACGTTGCGGGTGTGTGTGTGCGCACGCCTCGAACTTCCCCGCCACTGCAAATTAAGCACCCGCCGCGTTGCTTTGACTATACTTTATAGCCCCTTTCACTTATAACAAAATTCCGGTTACAAAGTATTCTCACAGCCAGAGTCTACTATTGACAAAAGGACGCCGATATTTCGCTTCCGAAGTTGCGTCATCGATAAGTCTGTACAGATTCTATCACGAAGACAATGTCACCGACACAAAGCATGGTTGTAGATGACTACGAAACTCTCAAGGCATTGCAGAAATCTATGCAGTGCAAGCAGAGACATTAGAGAGAAGCCACGACATCACAAACGAGGCAGGATTAATACAGCTGATATTTCTAAGGCATTAAAAAAAGCGCCTTTCGGGCTCAGGCACCACAAATAGGCAGTCAAAATAACGTTTTGGGTCACAGACACCATAAATGTAGGCCCACTAAATTTTACATAAATAGGAAAAAAAATTACAACGAAGGCTAGCGCGATCAATCTGCGACGGGTGAAATGTTTATCACGGTCAAAAGGCGCCAACGTTTGAACACAGCAGTGCCAAAAAAAGGTATTTGTAGGCACTATCACAGCCCTCCTCCATTAAGCTCTAATTCGCGCTCATATACCAGACTGACGTGAGAGGAGCACAAGAGACAAAGTAAACGCTCGCCTAAAATCCGCTCTGCATTCGTAACACAAAATTCCCAAGCTGATAGGTAGCGCATCTCAAAGTTAGTATATGTATACGCCACGTTAAATCGGCACGTTGCAGGTACAATCTCTGTTTAAAAATATTTTCGGTGTTCCCTCGTATGTCGCTCGCGATTGTGCATGGTTCTGGAAAACGATACTGGAGTCCTGTTGTGCCGGGAATTCCCAGCTGGATTTCTCAGAACACATGTAGCCGATTGTACCTTCTTTATATTACTCTGCGGTGTAGAAAGCAAGGCCACTTGAGCATATGCGCGACGAAAAGCCCATCGTGTTTGGATAGCAGGTCTAAAGGTTCGGCCCACTTGAAAGCCACCAAGCAACAATGGGCACGTGATAACACGGCGCACTAATGGAGTTTCACGAGGCTTATCGTGCCACATCTCGTTTTTTTTTTATTTTGCGTTTTTAAGCGATATGTATTAGCGATTCAAACGTTGTTGAAGCAGCAGCAGCAGCAGCAGCAGCAGCAGCAGCAGCAGCAGCAGTAGTAGTAGTAGTAGTAGTAGTAGTAGTAGTAGTAGTAGTAGTAGTAGTAGTAGTAGTAGTCATGACTGCGATGGTAGTAGTTTCTACGTTTGCATTTGATCATCTCGTATTCAGTGTCTCATGTGTAGTAGTAGTAGTAGTAGTAGTAGTAGTAGTAGTAGTAGTAGTAGTAGTAGTAGTAGTAGTAGTAGTAGCAGTAGTAGTAGTAGTAGTGGAAGCAGAGACCTCTGCAGCTTAGTGGTACTGGCAGCCACGGCTGCAATGGTAGTAGTTTTTTACGTTCGCATTGTATCATCTCGTACAGAGTGTCTCATGTCAATTCATTCAACGATAATATTTGATCTCATATTTTATGTGATGCTTAAAATGTTGTTCGTTTCATTAATTCATGTAATCAAATCATGCACGGGAGCTTCAAATTCATCCTACCTGCAGGACCTCATTCTGCATGCAGATCTTTTTCGTAACTGCCATAAATGGTCTCTTTCCATGGAATATATATTCTGTGCTCAGCCGCGCCACTTTCCTCATATGACCAGCCACGACCGGGCTTGACCAGCGCCTCCTAGAATTTAAGTTCTAGGTGGCTTTGGCTTGACTGGAGGCGCACGCGTCGCGTCTCCCCTCAAGGGGGCAGCGATTGGACAGTGTCTCATAACTCCCCCTCTCCCTTTAAAAACGATAGTCTTTCTTGGGGACCTTCGACGCAAACACTTTTCACTTTGGTCTATCTGTACACATACGTATCTGTCTGTTTGTCCGCCCTTAACGGTACCCTAAACGGCACCAAAGTGGCCACACCATACTCCAGATGTCCGACCCCATCCGCAGCGGCCACCAATATTGCTCAAGATTCAGGGTTCGTACTTGTGCGATTATCAATTAAAAAACAATTATTGCGCATATCTGAGGCACCATAACAACAAGTCAATATTCTGTATGTGTGTCCCTTACTAGAAAAGGCATACTTAAGTAATTCTAAGTACCGTAGCGTTTATCCCGTAGCGCTGACCATGCAACGCTTGCACGAAAAGGCATGTTTTTCCGACACTTTGCTAAGACGACACGGTGGTGGCACCTACCCGTCGCCTTGCGTTCTACAGCTTATCACCTCCGAGACGGGCGCGCACGACGCGCGCGCGTCGTTTTACAAGATAACTACCAGATAGCGCTCATGCCTCACGTGTCATGTGACGATGCGCTCGTTCGCCTCCGCTGCACGCTCGAGGCACCCTAAAGCAGCGCCTCCAGAATACCATCGACCGATTTTCTTGCGCAGAACATCAAATAAACGTTTTTGTTCACTCTCTCCAGACGCAAGACTATCGTCTTTCGTGTAACGTGCAGATATGGGGCCATTTTTTTTCTTAAGTTTATCGATTTTGCATGTGTATAAACGCACGCAAACATTCATTCAAACACGCTCAAACCTGCAAAGTCACCGCCCGTCCCCGCCCCTTCTCCCAAAGGAAAAACTTGTGGCTACGGCCCGTCGCAACTTTAAGACACCATTGCGATATTGAATATACCTAATAGTCACCCTCCTATCTTTTTTTTTTTTTTGAGCGTGTTCCCGCAAACCGCCTTATAATGCGTAGTTCAGTTACCATTGCTACATGACGTTAAAGCCTAATGTTGGTCATAAATAATAATAATTGTTGGGGTTTAACGTCCCAAAACCACCATATGATTATGTGAGACGCCGCAGATGAGGGCTCCGGAAATTTCGACCACGTGGGGCTCTTTAACCGTGCACCTAAATCTAAGCACACAAACCTCAAGTATCTTCGCCTACATCGAAAAAATGTTGGTCAGAAATCGTATGGAACTGTTTCAGTGAATGCACTGAAACTGTCAGTCACCCAAAGAGAGCCCCTAAAACAACAAAAGGGGAGGAAAACAAATAAATCGAGAGGCAGAGGCACTGACACAGGGGTGGCTACTAACAACTCACATTTCATTTCTAAAAAAAAAAAAAAAGTCTCCTCCTATGTTACGGAGCATGTGCGAAAGCACCAGGCTAGATCGCTAATTCGATCTTATTCATGCAGACCACCACTGTTCAAGAATATCACACTCTCAAATTTTCTAGTCTAAAACACGGACAGTGCGCCTACACATTTCTTCACGCATAAGTTTCCAAAGGCGATATGTCTTAATCAACTCGATTTTACACAGCATTGTAGTAAGGCGTCTTAGCCTTACCTACAATAAATACATTTCCGAACGTGGGTGTGTACAGCCGCACTGCTTACAATATAGCCGAAGGCTGTCATCAGTGCAAGAGAGTAAAAAATCTGCATAGTCCCGCAAACGAAGATTAACACAGCAACGAGATTTTCTAATGCATTGCTTATCACAACTAAGCGGAGCACTATATACGTCACACGTGTGTATCACACCACACGCGCAGTAATTCTTGACATGTTCGACGTCGCATGCTTTCCTTTCTATGCGTAGCTGCGAAACCCTCTTGCACCGACTTACAAGTTTGCATGGTGTAGAACAGACCGATCTGATATGATATCTCGAAGCGACATTTTTCAAACTGTGTGAAATACCATAAGCGCGAGGTGCTTTTTCTTCGGGTCCCGAACATCGCAATCACCAGAGTGTCATAAATATACAGAGTAAAATGCGTCAATGCTCACTCTTTTGTTGATGCTGGGCCGGAATTCGAAGTCCACCATTTCACTGGCAAAAGGCTACCGTCAATTATCCCGCGCAAACGCAGGCTCTGCGTTTGTCCTGCCATCTGTTCGACGTCAATGCAATTTTTCGTCATGATACTCGGCCTTCGAGATACACACATGCCCTTTCACAGAGACTTGTTTTTTTCTTTATCAAAATTGCGTGACGTCACGTGAGTTATCTTAACAACATAACTGACATTAATAAAACATAACATACCAGGCAATTTAAATAAAAAAACTATTTTTCCTTGTGACAGCTTGGTAGCGCGCCCTTGACTCGTTTTTTTGACGCAGCCAATGACGTCACCAGGCGAAACTCGCCGCATTGAATGCAGACGCTTGCAATGGCTGCGGAAGATTCAAACGAAGCGAGGATACACCACGAAACGGCGCACTGCGAGAAACCGGCGGCACCCGGAACTGACATCTTCAGAGATACACCGGTTCGCTTGCTAGGTACGCCTCCGAAAGCTTTCGTTTTGTCGATGATCGATGTGACGGTGATTGGGAAGACTCAGACGGGCACGCACATACACGCGTGTGCTCGTCACGTGCGGAAGGATTAACGAGCCTAGCCGTCGACCTCAGGATGTGTCGAGAAGCTCTGGCGAAAAAGGAAGTTCATACGTCGCCAGAGCCCGCATTTTAAGGCAATCACTTTCGGCAATACTATTGCGCTTTTCTGATAGACGCGGCACAACCGGAGAGATCCAACTTCTTTCACCACAATAAAGTTGGCACTTAAGAAACTAGGCTATATGTGATTATGCATACGTGGTATTTCCAAAATACGCAGTACGTGCGTCCGCGAGCAGCACTAGAAGCTTCGTTTGAATAATTCACTCGCTATCGCAATCGGACGCGTGGTATTGCTGTTCTTTTTGGCATAAAAGCCCCGCCAGAGGCCCCGCTTCAACGATGTTCCGTGGAGTTCGACATTTTTTAGCCAAGCGAGTAGTAACATACGTTGCTCGCTATTTGTAGATTGAGCTAGCCATGTGCACTCGTGAAAGTTTAACCTGGCTGTACGTGCGGAGACTCTGTGGCCGTAGCCACGGATTTATAAATCCAGTGCTCCGCAGACTCGCGATGTGATGGTTTTCGCGAAAACATGTCCTATGCTTTTCACTCCTAATTATTAGAAAAACTAAAAAGAAACATCAACGGGGATTGGTGTTAAATGATTCCTTTAGAGAGACAAGAAAACAATAAAAAGGGAATAAGTGTTTACAAATATGAATTGCCGCAAGTGATCCTGATACTAATATTATGTCAGGCGCATTGAGGCTCTTTTGTACGCTTTGCAATAAGGTCAATTGCTGAGTGGTATTTCACCTATCATGTACTACATGGATACATATATGCTGCAAGACATTTGTAGGTACATGGCCGTGAGACATTCACTTCTCTTTTCAGGATATGCAAATGAAGTAGGAGAAGCATTCCGGTCCCTAGTTCACGTCAACGTCGTCCGCCTGTCCTATGCCGTAGCAAGTGCTTACGTCGTGGTCGACACAGCAGACAAGGTCTTGAAGGCAGACAAGGTACACAAACATCACCACTGTACAGTAAAGTTACTGGCCACCATTAATCACCGCTGTACAGTTGAAGTTATTGGTTATATTGTATTACACACTGTAGTTGTACAGCGAAATAAGGCTGCTGGGGGGTTAGCATCTAGAAATACGGAGAGTTGACCAGCCATGCAAGAATGCAAAGCATGGTCCGCCCATAACAGGGTAACAGGGCCGGTCCAAAACGCATCGGGACAGTCTGATAAGAAGAATTTGTTGATTCAATAAGTACACATTGTTGAAGGGTCTCTAAAGACCGAAACGTTTTTTAATGTATTAGTAAAGCACAATTTCACGATCCTGAAAACACCACTCTTACTACGACCTGACACATGGTAAGTGAGGAAAGGCGCGAAAATAAACCTCGGGTGGAGATTCTACTTTGAGATTCCCGCAGCGAACACTGTGACGTCATAAATTGTGAAGGCCAAAAGCAGCATTATATTGCGTCTCTTGATGTGTACGAAAGGTTCTTTATTTAGTGCAGCTAGATTTATTACAAGTAATTAATTGCAGGCGGTTCGTCTGACGTCATTGGTATCATTTTGATAATGTCCTACTTCAGCGCATGTACTCTTGTGAATTTACCTTAATTTCTCGGTAACTAGGGCATTGCTGTTGATAATATTGTCGTTTTAGATGTTGTCATCCATTAAGCTTTCACTCCGATGTAAATTGTTAGTTGATTTTAGTGTCCCTTTAAGTGAGAATGAGCAAAGGGTGATGCGCACATAGCACTTTTTGACGTAAATTGTTAGTTGATTTTAGTGTCCCTTTAAGTGAGAATGAGCAAAGGGTGATGCGCACATAGCACTTTTTATTACCATTAATAGTTATATGTTTTTTTTTACATGTTTCGTTGTACAAAGGTGTGTAGTTGCCACTTTTGTCATGGGCTTTATATCTTAAGTTCTGTTTTGCTTCTCAAAAACTTGCTGCACAGCTTCCAGTGTTAAGACAAAGTTTTCTAGACGCTGTATGTGGAAGAAACCTAATTGTACTAATTTGCTTATACTTAAGGTTCAAAATCACAAGAACTGCACAGTTACATTCATTAAAAATACTTGAAGGTCTTTTGTTTCAATGTAAACGTGACAATGTTGACGAAGGCGTGACTAATGGTGCTCAGTGAATTCTCATGGCACTTTGGTTGTAGCGTGAATGCAAATAATAGGACAAAGAACATTACAAGGATGCGTACTGTCCTCGTCCAATGCGTGATTCATTTAGAGCTGCCCTATTTCATTGGGTTATACTTTTCTTATACGTTGTCCGGTGTTTATGCGGCTTGTAGTGAAAAATCAAGGAAGGACAGAAATTTTATGGTTTGCTCTGTTTCTTGATGTGCAACACAGAAAAAAAAAGGAGTAAATAAGAAGTGATGAAAACTGCGACATTCTGCAAAAGCATTTACAATGAGGGACTGCATACTGTTGCAGTCAGAAAGTGACGTTTTGATTGGGCATTCCGACATCAGGATGAAGTCTAACTGGTTATTCAAGTAGAAGCACAGAATTTATAGCACTGACACATCACTATAAACAAACAACCACATCATGCACAGAAATTCTTTTTCTTCATAAAGAAGAGCTATTGAAGTGCACGCTATAAACTCTGTGTTTCTTCAGAAATGAACCAGTTGGAACTCGGCGCTTGTCCATCTGTCGTTTCTTGCGCTGTTCATTTGTCAATCCTTACAATCATAAATATAATCAACTAGCTCGATACAGCCCCATTACTTGACCAAGTATCTACATGCTACATCTTGAAGAGGTAAACAATTTCATTCTTCGATTGTACCAGAAATGCAGAATTTTTTAAATTTTCATTGTTAAAATACATTCGGGAAGGTCGTTTTTGTTTGTCAGGCACGGCTGAATAAATGGAACAAACCAGGGGAAACATAGAAATGATTGTCTGTACTACTAGCACACTAAAAATGGAAAAACAATCCTATGTTTCTTTCTGAGCCTTTTCGTTTCTGCAACATTAGTCGTGATCTCAGCACCGACAAGAACCTCACTGTCTGCTGAAAATACATATATGTATCCAGCTTGAACTTCCTCCTCACGGCTACATGTTTTTTTTAAACTTGTGCGCAATAGCAACACTGCAACTAAATTTGAGCCTCAGGGAGGTTTAGGGGCCCCTTAATGTGGGCCTCTGTACACGTGAGAGCTGTACAATGTGCTCACTTTAACGTAAGCAACACTGTCTTGCAGGTCAAGTGCCCCGATGCTAAAGCTCACCGGAACAAGCTGTTCAACACTGCCGTGGACACACTGGTGTGGCAAGCGTTGGCCTCGGTCATCATACCTGGTTTCACAATCAACAGGGTGTGCGCACTGTCTCTCTTCCTGCTCAAGCGTTACTCGAGCATGCCCCTCAACGCCTGCAAGTGGACTACGACCGGCGTGGGTCTGGGCTGCATCCCTTTCATTGTGTCGCCCATAGACCACGGTGTTCATGTGCTCATGGACAAGACGCTCCGTCAGTGGTTGCACGCAAAGGAGTCTTCCGACTGACCTTTTTCCCTTCTAGTGTCGAGCAATACCTTTTACTAGTTCAAAGATCTCTGCAAGGTGCTCATAAAACAAAACATGTATGGACACATTCGAAACCCGCAGTAATGAAATCACGCTCCGACGACATGTCTCAGTGTCCTGAGCGAGCATGTATTTAATGCGTGCCATATTTTCGAAGGATGGAATTTTGCTAAGCTGCAATATCACCCCAAAAAAAAACTGAGGGGATGTTCTCCCATACATTTTCTGCTCGCACAAGGTCAGCATATTCCAAAATGTGCTCGTATATCTTTGCTTCTCGTTTAAAACTGTAAACAAGCACCGCTGCAATGCGCTTGCCTAGGTGCTGCCATATTTGCTTACAAAATTGGAACACTGCTGAAAGCGGTCTGGTGTGCAAGACATTGCCTTCCCACTATGTTGCTTGTTTAGTCAGTTCTTCCTCATTTTTTTTTTTAAGTGTTCATAGCCACATTAGAAAGTAGCAACTCAGCCGTCCAAATAATCGGCACAGCCGCTCGCTGTTTGCTGTTCTCAGGCTGCCGGGTACAAATGGTTTTGCTCGCGCTTGTAAAGTTAAGGTTTGCTCGCGCACATAAAGCATCAGTTATTTGAAAACGGTGCCAACAAATACATGTGACCAGTGCACCTAGTTGTGTTAAGCCACGTTTCTATGCCATCACCAGTGCCAGGTTTTTCGTGAACTATGCCGCTGCCATTCGAGACTTGTGACTCATAGACACTTTGCTTAAAACCTTTTATTGAATGAGGCATCACCTTCTGTTTGAACGCAGACAAGTACCTTTGCCAAAGATTGACTTCACTCTCATTCTATGTTACAATAACTCGTTACAGCATGTTGGTCTTCATTGTATAGTTGACCATGTGTAGCAGCGAACGTATGGTAAGAAGCTATTGAAACAAAATTTAAGCTAGTATACCTGCAATCACCAGTCTTTCCACATGGTGCCATAATGTGCCAATCATGTCAGACAAAGGATAGCGTACTTAAAGTAATGATGTGCAGCTCACGTTTTTCTTGATTTTCTCATCCACTTAGCAGCTAAAGTAAAAACAAACTTTTTGGCAGTGTAAAGAAACTTGTCTTTTGCTTACATAGACATGGGCACGATTTTGTATCAAGGGAAGCCACAATTGACCGCTTTTTGGTAGCGCACCCTTGGGCAGCGGCCATCTCATATGGCGTCCCGGACTAGGGACTGCCACCGAGGTGCACGGGAACTCTCTAGTGCATTTCAGAATAAAATGTTTACTACCACCACCCCCACCACCGCCTTTTTGTCAAGTTCATAGAAAAACAAGCTTAGAAATGAGTGAAAAAGCATAAATGAAGCAATGACGGGCTTAACAACTTTGAACAATGGTGGGTCAAGTTCAACTGAATAACTTGGCAGCCCACCTCAGACTTCGCATCTTCCTCAGATGATTCGAAAGGCGCCTCTCCTTCCCCCCCAGCCCCCTAACCCTTGTGCACACACCTTTATTCTCATATAAAAAGCAGCCCTAGAGCAAGACATTCGTGCCAGGAACAAGAATGATTATGTCATTAAGTTTGACCTTCACAATGTCGAAACTGGAGCTAGTGATGCAAAACTCGCAATGTTACATTTGAAAACCATCGCATGGTCTACTGCGATTCAACATGCCATAAAATCATGTGCATAGTCACAAAATGTAATTTACATGCATTTCACATAGTTTCACATATGCAAGTTTTTTCAGCGTGGGCGTCAAAAATGGCTACATGTTTGAATGTCTTTTTGGGTTTTTTCATGTCGAACTTGGTTACTTTCATGCACGCCATGAAGTGCCTGTAAAGACTTGATGTAAAGGTGTTCAACATAAAATGTAATGATTTTCCAAGCCCCACAGATCTGCCAAAAATACTTCCATTGTACACTGTTCTTTAGAAGGGGAACACGCGAAGGTGAGGCCTGCGCTCTGCGGCGGCTGCCTACAGCGCCATCAACTGACAAGTGAAGAAAGCACATTCGCTTTTCGCGTCTATGACGAAGCAAGATAACGAGTTACGGTCGGTAGACAAGTGCTGCTAAATCACGTTTCCTGATCGATCGCGCGGCGTGCAATATCGGGCAATTACTGCAGCTTGCGCCGTGGTTGCAAACAACGTTATATGTTGGCAGTCGACTACGCACTGCAGGCGTGAGTGGAGGGAGAGTGCAATCTAGCAGTGCTTGTCTACCGGCCATAACTCGTTATTATCTTTTTCGGCAACAGATGACGCTGAAAGCGAACGTGTTTCCTTTTGCTGTCGGTTGATGGTGGTGTAGGCAGCCGCCGCAGAGTGCAGGCCACGCGTTCGCGTATTCCCTTTCATAAAGGACAACTGTGTACATACCACTCATTTGAAATAAATTCAAAAATTTTTTTAATTATGTGCAGCTAGCCATGTCATCGTACTGTGGTAAAATTGTGCAGCAGGACACATACTGCGTTATTTGCTCATTATTACAAGACATAAAACATGCTTTCAATGTGCCAAGCATTTCCTAAAAGTAATAAAATGGCTACCTATAATACCCACGGTTACAAAGTGTCATATTGACGCATGTTTCACAAGAGTACACCTTGAGAAGGCGGCTATATTATCCGCTGCCTATGAATGGCAGATGGGCAAAAAAACCTGCACCAATAAGAATGCTCTTGACAGTGTGTGTCGCAGGTCACACAGTCGGTGACACTACCATCGGAGAACATTGCAAAGTACCTATGCCAAATTTTACGGTCATGCACTGCACAAAGCAACCGCAGAATGCGAAGTTGTCATTTTCTCAAGTGCCCCCTTTTGATACAGAGGCTTGTGCTCACTCATTTCGGAGCTGATGGCACTTGCGCTTGACGTGGATCTGCCGACAGTATGTTATCGACCAATAGACGGATGTTTGGTTCAGATGCACTTCCTGCCACGGGTTGCTGCACTCCGTAGTCTGCTAACATTGCAAAGCGATGCACCCTTGCAAGCTTAGCAATCGCAATGAGAAAAAGCAATCATGTGTCATCATGCGTAGTTAAGGTCATGACACACGCTGGCATAGCTTCTTTCGACCATGCCATTCCACATTGCTTGCTCTCGTAGCATGTTTGCCCCTACGAGAGCAAGCACTCGAACGATGCGACAAACCCCAGTAGCTCTGCTCGTGCTCGACAGATTCAAGAATTTTTCATGGCGATAAGCACTTACACTGACATCATTTGAGGATCGCTTTTCATGTTGTATTACTACAGACTGCAGCATTTCCGGTGCTGTAACAGAATGACCTAGTTCATAGAATACACTAATACATGATACGACTGAATGTGACCCTATACACAGGTGAATCCAGACACATTCCGAGGGCGAGTACAGATGACCTTCCTTTGCCGTATTTATTGCACAGTTTATACTATCATTATACTTAACATGCTAGCAAGTTGCCTATATAAGTTAGATACCAAGTAATGGGTTGATGTATTAACTCCACATTGCAGAACTTCAAATATTTCCTTTGTTAATCAGTAAGAAATTCTCCCTGACACCTGCATTGGAATCTACAATCAAATCTAACCCAAAATCTCTCATATATCATACGTCATGAAAGAACTTGATTAGTCCTGACATTTTGACGAAGGTGATGAGTAAAAAAAACACAGATGCGCAAAACAAAAAGACAGACTTGCATCTGTTGTTTTGTCTGCATGGGGCTATCTCAACTTACCACACTTGACGACACAACAAAAGACTCCACGTATAATTTTAAATGCGCAAAACTGACCCCAACGAAGCTTGAGAGAATCAACTAGCTTGTTATTCTCATTGTGTCTCATAATCATATGGTAGTTTTGGGACGTTAATCCTCAACAATTGTGTTATTCCTCAGCGGCACAAGCCTTGGTGCTCAAGTTCATTTGACCAAACTTTTCTCAAGTCATTGAGATTCAGAACACGTCGGTCCATGATTTTTCTTTGCAAAACAAAATACCATTTAGAGTGTTGATAATATTCTCCGGAGTACAACGATTACTTCAGTTAGAGTGCAATAGCATAGGCATTTACCATGGTGCCAAAGAGATCAATGTCCCGAATGAACGAATACAGAATCCCATGAAGTCAATCAATGATTATTATTAAGTTTTATTGGCACAGACATCCAAGGCCAAGGAGTGCCAGTAGAAGCGTTTTCATTTCAGGTTATTAGTCTAAAAATTAAAACAAATGATGTGTAGCAAAAATCTATAAAATATTCAAAACACTGTCTAAAAGGAATGCCACTTTGTTAAAAACCTTCATTTTGTTGGCTGAAGTCTGTGACAATAAATGAGTCGGCAAGGTCCAAGACCCTCACGGCTTAAGTCCTTGCCTGAGCAAGAACTGCGAAGGCTCAGACACACTTGTGTTTTTTGCCCTAGGCGGTACCTCACACTTGAGGCGCAGCCTGGTGGCTAGGATGGAATGATATGAAGTCTCTTTTCCTGGTTTGAGCTACTGTACTTGTGATGTCGACTTCGTAATTGAGACATGTAGCAGGGGTAGTCAATTAGGAAGAACAAGTGGGTGGCCGCTGCTCAGCAGCAACTGCTTCAAGTGCCGGCAAAAGGGCATCTCTCCTTATGGCACAACCTATTATTGGCAGCCAGAATAACCAGGCACGACTGATGGGCAATAGTCTGTTCCATTACCTCCTTTGTCAGAAGGTCGTTTTGGCCAGTGAAAAACGCCAGCAAGTAGATGCCACGGAACAATCGTGCCGCGCCAATATTTCCTTCCCCCAAATGAAGGCCCACCTTGTACAGCATGTTCTTGTTTAAATAGGCAATTGCTAAAACTTGGTACTATACAGCTTCGACAAAGTTCGGAAGAAAAAGCTACTGGGCTGTTTTATCAGCAAAGTCGGATTTGATAGCTGCAAAACCACACGAGTACCTTTCACACTCGCACCACTGCTATAGTGGCTGAAAAACTTCGTCCAGCGGCCGTGCCAGTAAACAGAAGGGGACATGGGTGGAGGTCCAAGTTAGCTTTTCCTTGAGAATGGTTCACCCAACTATCCTTTTCTGTCGCTGATGCACCATTACAAGTTGATTTATTTAATGTTGTATAAGGGCTAGGTGACGAGAGAGGGCAAATACA